ATCTCCAAAGCACACGGCAGGAAAACACTCTTCAGAACATACACCAGGACCATGAAAGCGCCGTGAACATCCAGGTGTCAGCCCCACAGACACCAGTTCACAACTATGGCAGACTACCGAGAGAAAGGACACCACGGCGGGCACGGCACCACCAGATAGAACAGGCACGAACCCATGCACTTCCACCGCCACCAGCAGCGATAGAAGCGCCAGCAGAGCAGCCTTCTCTGGAAGAGACACCTCCGCCTCAAGTCCAAGTTTCACAACAAGAACAGACTCCACCAAACCGCGCTGTCCAAGACAACGTGAACGGCGAGGAGATCCCAGGCCCACCGTCGGTCACACAAACACACCAGAGTGACGCGAAACCGCCTTGGATGAAAATCATCCCGAACTTCAGGTATCGCAACACCTTCAGTCGTCGGAACAACCGACATCCATCCAGACGGAACACCACCATTGGCAAGAAGTCCCAGAGACCCCGCCGGTCTCAGTTTCACATCCGTCCCAGCATTTTGCAGGACAAGCAGCAGAAGCACCAGCGTCAGCATCGGCATCGGTGTTACCTCAGGTAGTACAAGAAGACACAACAACAGCACCACTTCTACCACAGAAGCGGGCCTTCGAAGCGATGACCGCATTGATGCTGGACGATGACAACAACATCACCAGAGTGACCAAGCACATGGACGGGTCGCTCCCCATGAACTATGGACCCAAGCACACCAGGTTCCATCAAGCCTATCTCACCACTCAACAGCGCACACGCACGATGTTCTCAGCACCACAAAGGACCCGACTGAGTCTGATAGCAGTGCAGACTCATCGACTGATGAAGACACCCCAACCGAGGACACCAAGCAACCTCGCGTGACACGACAGGAGCAAAAACAGCTCGATCGGGAGTTGCCCTGGCGGACAATTCTCGCCACCATGTCAAAGCCGGCGCTTGAACAGTTCATCAAGGCCATCGAGAAAGAATTCGAGTCCTGGTTAGAATGGCAATCGACTGAGCCACTCGATGATGAACAAGCAAATCGTGCTAGCAGACCCAGAGGTGCGGAAGAGATGTCTCCGCTCAAGAGCGGCATACAGAGACAAAAACCGCGGATGCGGTGAGCTGAAAGCAAAGTGTCGGGTAGTTGCCTTGGGTCACACCGACCCGGATTTGTTCTCGTTGACCAGGTCGGCACCGACACCGGGAAGACTGAGCGAACAGATAATGTACTGCATGATCACAGCAGGCCACAACGCTCAGCTCGGAGACACGGGACAGACCTGGACAGCCTGGATCGGAGACGCAAGCACTGCGTTCCTTCAGGGTTCACAGCCTGACGGCGAACGGCCCTTGCCTTTGTTTTTGTGGCCTCCAAAAGACCGTTTGATCCAGATGACGAAGTGCTGGACCAGTCGGTTGTACAGGGTCAAAGGCAACATATATGGCCTAAGCAACGGGCCATACCTTTGGTGCATGGAGGTCGTCAGCCGCCTCACTCCCAAGGGCTACCAACGACATCGGTATGAACCGATGCTCTTCCTGAAGTTCGACGAAAGTGATCAGCTGCAATCGGCAGTACTGGTCTACGTGGACGACTTCATTGGAGTCGCGCGTGCTGACTACAACTTGGAAGAGACCACCTCCCTTTTCAAAGGGGGTGAACGAAAGACCATTCAGATAGACTCACCAGTGACCTTCAAGGGACAAGAGCTGACGCTCACCCGGAGCAATGGAGTCAGATCACCATGAAGACGTTTCTCAAAGGACTCCAGTCCGGCTCCGTGGCTAGAGGCAGACCTCCCAATGACCTCCTGAACGAAGATGAACAAAGGGAGTTCCGAAGTGTCGCAGGTTGCCTTCAATGGGTAGCAGGGCAGGCGCGCCCAGAGGTAGCCATCACTTTGCACAACCGTGGAAGGAAGACAATGGTCTCCGACCTCAAGACCCTCTACTCCACGGTAGACTTCCTCAAGGAGACGCCAGATAGAGGAATGTTGGTGACAAATGTGCCGCTGAACAAAAGAAGCATGCTGGTCACATACACGGATGCAAGCTTCGCCAATGCGGAGTATTCCAGCTCGCAGCTTGGAGTCTTGGTATGCCTCACGACACCGAGCGTGCGCCAGCGGACCAGCCCGGTCAACATCCTGGACTGGCGATCTTGCAGATCCCAAAGAGTGTGCAGGAGCACCTTAGCTTCAGAGAGCTCGGCTGCAGACGAAGGAGCGGATCGGTCGGCTTACGCCAACATGATGTTGTCAGAAATTTGTGCAACATACCAGCCCATAGAGCCGGTAGCAAGTTGGATTTTGTGCAGTGCACAGATGCAAAATCATTATATGACTGCATCATCAATGGAGCTCCCAATACCACGGACAAAAGATCTTTGATCAACATCCGTGCTGTTCAGGAAACAGTTGCAGCCAAGGACTTTCATTGGGTCCCGACAGGACTGATGCGTGCGGATGGACTCACGAAATTTGACGTGAGGCTTCGCGAAGAGTTCTCAAGTTGGCTCCAACGTCCCACGTCGACACTGAAAGACCAACAAAAAAAACATCAGTGTGAAATTCATGCCACGCGTTTCCTTGGTCTTTCAGGCTTGTCGCCCGTGGCCACTCGTGTTCAGGATCCTTCTGCCAACCTTTCTTGACCATGTGCCATGGCGGTAAAAGCAATTGATTTCGGAGCGCGCCGCTTCCTTCTTTGCAGTTTGAGAGCCCTCGAACTGTTGTTACTCAGAGTTATGAATCTGTGTAAGCTGTAGTTCTAATTCAATGCTTGTTGCTTTTGCTTCGGATTTGTAATTTCGATTCCTCCTCGACTTGTGCATCTTGTAGCTCAAGCGTCTTACATCTTATTTCTGGCGAACTTCTAATCTTAATTCCAATTCCTTGCTAATTCAACTCCCATCTAGTTTCAAATAGGTTATAGTTATAGGTCAATATAAGTTTAGTTGAAATTCGGCTTCAATTCAGTTCTATCTTAACTCTAACTCAAATCCAATTTAATTCTACCTATGTCTATTCTAGCTCTAGTCTGTTAAGTTTAAGAGAACACATGGTACAAAACCCCGTGTTTTACAGTATGTTTTTGCCCTGGGAGTGCTGGGAACAAGACTAAAACTCTTTTTTGGAGTAAATAGTTAGATTTATTTATTTACAGCAATCACTGGAAATACTGTAGACATATTAAACATGTTTTATGTACAAGCTTCTAATTCAAGAGCTTCCCTCCAGATCTCTGGGAATGATCATTTCTACAATAAAATACATAAAAACTTTCATTTCAAAAGCTTTCCTCTGGATCTCTGGAAATGGTCATGTCAATTTAGACATGCTATATATCAATAAATAAGTCTTTCTTTCAAGAGCTTTCCTTTCATGAAACCACACATATATGGGATATCTACTTTCCCAGAGATCCAGAGGAAAGCTTTGAAAATGCAAGCTCTTACCCGCAGAAATCTAGAAGAAAACTTTTAACATACAAGGTTTCTATATACTTGTTTCAATCTAAAACTGATTATCTGCAGAGACCTATAGAGAATCTTTTATAACATAAAAGCGTCTATATAAAATCTTTCCAAATCTAAACATTATTACAAGCAGAGATCTAGAGGACAATTGTAAAAATAAACACTTTTATGGCCTGCTTTTTTCCTAATTATATATCTGGTTCAAAACCATCTGAATGACTGATTGCTGCTTCCAAAACACTAAAATGACCCTGTCTCAGGAATACAGAATACATAATATATTTGTTCATAGAGAGAGCAGGAATAGATTATATGTGCGTTTATATGGAAAGGGGCTGCCATTGAAGCATTTACCTAAAATTTTGGGAAAACCAAAACCCAGGCCCCATGACCACCCGCTCTCTATTTTCTAGATGCTTTATCGCGATTGAATTACGGTAGTTTTGTTTATTCTTGCAGAATCTATGTGATCTACGCTCGCCAGTGGACCGAACAGCATAATGAAACTCAAGGTGTTGCGTCTCCACGCACTCAAACACAGATACGCGACGGCCGCACCAAAAAAAATGCTAGCATCACCGAGAATGAGACCTGCACTTGTTCCATAAACATGAAATTACAGTGTGAGAATCTTTCCTGTTTGTATGCTCAATTCGTGTAAGATGCGAGCAAAGGAAATGGCCGCCAACATCGTATTGTAGGACTTCCATTCTGCAGTGGCAATCTGGCATTCCATGAACCCTCACCAGCAATTCCTGTAATCAAGAGAAACTCGTTGGGGTGCTTGAAGGAGAAGCTTTGTTGGGCATCATCCAAAGGTGCTACTTTATATAACATTAAGCATTGGATTGTGCTTCCATCATCCTCAAAACCTCTATATATAACATGAGCAGGAACCTTTGTGGTAGTCTCCATGCCATATTGTATTTTGTATATATATAATACATAAATGCATTATACATATACATATATATATATATAGACATATGAATGTTATGACAACTGTGTGCTGCTGCTTAATTCGTCAATCTGTGCGCCTTTTTGGCAAGTGCCATGTGTCTGGTCCGACAAGGATCGGAGAAATGGTTGAAATATTCTAGTTCATTTATCGTTCTGTTCCATGCGGATGGCAACATGCATTTTGATGCTGCTCGATCGAGATACACCCAATGCATGACCAGATTCCAAAGGCATTGCCCTGCCTACAAAGATTGAGTGCATGGAAACTCCAGAGAGTGCAAACTCTGTGCACTTCCAGCCTGTATAGATCTCGATCTACTCGCCAGACGGGAAAGTGTGAGCTTCGGACCAGCTAGCCGGTTGATTTTGGTGACACGTCAATTTTGTTCATTGTTGCACAGCTAGAATTATGTTTTTAGATGATCTGCCTCACAATCCATAAGAAAGACCTGAGTAGCGAAGGAACATGCGCGGCAGAGTCTCAATTCAGGTAACAATAGTCCACTAGACTTCACCGAAACGGGTATAGTCCTGTCGCTTAGCCGCATCACTGATCTTGCGCAGGTGGAAGCTGATGGCTACAGCCCAGAGCAGGCCAGGAGGGGCCGCTCCGCACTGACGGAGGGGACTGAGCCAAGTGACCGGCGCCCGTGGTCGTGATGGACTGGGCGACACGAGAAGCGACTGCCAGGCATGGGAGTTGAACAAGTCCTTGCCCACCCTGGAGGACTTCGCTTGGCCTTGGGGCCTTCTGGCCACCTTGGCCATGTGGGAAGGTCTTACACATCGCACGTCACTCTTTTCGGCACGGGTGGGTGGGTCCATCTGAGGACCGTTGAAAAACAACTAGAGCAGCAAAGGTCCTGGTTCCTTGCTGGTCATGGAAGAGACCTAGGGCATACTCACTTTTTTGGCTTGCTTCTTGACGCACTCCATTGTTGACATTCTACTGTTGCAGTGATGGTGGCAACCTGTCTGGGGACTTTGCAGGAGAGCTGTGCAATTCGTGTATGTGGGTGCTGGGATGAGGCGCAAAAGGATTTGTTTGCTCTAAAACGTTCGTCACCTTTGGGTCTGCTGTCCACATAAGCTTTCTTCATACTGTTGTTGGACAAACACTCTGCGTGACACCAAGCAATTCATTCGCAGGCTCTCATTTACCAAATCCAGCAAAACACATGTTTTGTTTTGCGTCTTTTGACGATGTGCTGTCATTCAGAAATGGCAGCAGGATCGGGTACATACAGCATACATGCAACGGATGCATAGCTTGCCATATGCCTGGTGTCAACTTCAAGCTTCTTGTCCTACTGAAGGAAAGGTGCTGTAGCATACAAGAGAGATATTCCAGTATTGTGATCGAATGGTGGCCTGGTCCCAATATGTCACTATGTAGTACTATATTATATATAATACAATTTGTGCAAGACTTCTAAGTTCGTCTCATTTGCTTCAGTTTTTTACTGTAAGTTGCAGAGGATGCAGAGAACCCGAATCGCTTCACACACGTTTTGGGCAGTATCACGGCGGAGGATGGATTGCTTCACATCGTTTGTTGACCCAGAGCCATGTGAGCATCGAACCTCCAAAGCAACAATTCAGTGGCTGATTCACAAGACACACACACACGTAGCAACTGCAGGTTGCTGCGGCACTACTCGATGTTTGCAATGAGGCTGGAATCTTTTGGACTGGGAATAGGCGCAGGAAGGCCAACTTGGGATGGGGAGATGCCCCGTTTGGCATTTGTTTCTGCGGCCAAATGAACAGTGTTCAGTGGTGATCAACTGAACATGTGAGATGCAACAAACACATAAATATAATATATATATATATATACTGTATATAGTCTATCGTGCAAAAGATGTCCAGAGGCTTTTGTTTGACGTGGACTCTGTGGACCACTTTGTATAGAATCACCGTCCCTTCGAACTGAGCCGTCAGCCGAGTTCCTCACAAATCAAGCCGTTGTTTGACCTTGTTTGGTTTGTTTGACTCATGAGGCCTTATACATGGGAGCCTCCAAAGCAGCCAGCCCAGAGAACTGCTGGGAGACGTTGTGAAGGGTGTTTTTTGCTTGTTTGCTTCGCTTTCGTGTTGGAGCCCAGCTGCTTTACTTTATATAGCAGGTCAGCAGGCAGTCATTCGTGTTGGATGTTGTACCTTGGAAATATCGCTCGCTCCATCGGAGTGATCGCCACCACCCCATGCGGTGCCAACTTCACTCGCTCAGACTGTTGCGAAACTTCAACCAGCTGCGGTGTGGGCTCTCAACTGGCTGGTTTGACGTGCACAGACATGCACAGACATGCACCTTGATCTCACACTCGGTCCATTCCAGTTGTACCAGCACTATGGTTTCAGTTGTTTCTACTTATTCTGGCATGCCTATGCGAATGTAGTGCTCTACCTGTTTCCAAATGTGGAGAGCTAGAGAAACCGCTGCGTATGCAGATGAGAATGACCAACTCTACCTACGCTCGCACCCTCAGGAACATTGCTCAAGTTTCATTGCTGGAACTTGCCCAATTGTTATTGAATGCATTTCAACACTGCACATGACATGGCTTTGCCATGGCAGGCGAAGTACAATCAGGATACTGAAGCCTAAAAAATGTGAACGAGCAAGAGTGCATATTTGTACTATATAAAATATATTACCATTACCTTTTAACTCATCTAGCACGACTCTTCATTCTAGATTCCAGACCCTTTAGCAACAGGTACCGTGATACAAGCACTCTGCACTCTGAGTCTAATTCTTGGACAGGAAGCAGAAGAGCATCAGGAGACTTGTGACACGCCGCTCCACCCTGATCAGCTTGGGAGATGAGCTGCTGGGCGTTTGTCCGGCTACTTAAGCTTGCGCACCAAATATAGCGAATGCCCTCTAGCAAACAGAGAGTACTGGCCACTTGTTACAGCCTGGGTTCGAAGATTCTCCGAACTTGTGGGGTCCATTTCACACGGATCTGGAGCAAACAGGCCATGCAACGTCAAAGCCAGGCGACTTCTCCTTGAAGCTCTACAAGATCGAGACGAGGCGCTGGCCCGGCAGGCCTGCGAAGCAGCTGCGAAGCAGTTTGATCGTTGAGGCACATGCGAGCTGAGGATATGCAAGAAGTCACTGAGTCTTCTTTAGAATCAGTTGAATAGAATTAGAATCAAGTACTGAAAGTCCTTTTTCTGGCACTGTGGTAGATACAAAGGGTACTAGAACCGAAGGATGCCTGGTTTGCCTCTGGCTTTTGAACGCCGTGCGGCCTCAATGAGAATGAGGCCTTGGCTCGTGGTGCCACTTTTGAGGAGATTAATGAGGCAAAGCTCCAGTGGTGATCCTGCGATTATATACATGAAAAAACGTTGGGATCCAAGGGAGATCCCATGTAAAATATGACAATCCCATGGGAAGATGCAAAACCCTTCGTACCGTTTTTGAGGGGGATAGGCCGAAAACGGCAAAACCTCATGGGATGCCACTACCATCATGTTTCTTCGATTGTTTTTGGTCTTTGCGAGTCCCTTCAAAGAACAGCACAAATCCTGGCCTTCTCAGCATAGGTTTGCTGATTCTTTGATAGAGAACAAGCGCCCCTCGATCTCAATACAGTATTTTCGATGCGGAAGGGTGTCATATTTGGCTCATTTGGGCAGGTGGGAGACACGCCTCTCCTTCTTGTGCGGGCACTTAACACGGATACTTTAGGACCGGAAGCTTAGGCAAATGAAGTCCTTGTGAAGCTTTGACAGGGGTTTAAGCTTTGCCTGGGAGAACATTCTGTTGGTTTTTCATTGATGGACCAGGACGGCATAAGACAGTGGTTTCTTCAAATCACCAGGAAACACAACAAGTTAGTGCATCTGAGCTTTTGCATTTGAACTGTGGATACTGGGAATCCACGAATTGCCATTGTGTTTGTTGCTCCACTCCTGTCTCAATGACAATGATGGCGTGTACTTATACTTCGCGACCCTTCCCAGCCTTCCCACTTACATCCTTGCGCAGGACCAAAGGCTAACTTGGCTACACCAGTCGAAAGCATTTATGCGAGCATTTGCACCATTTTGCGCCCTTTCTCTCTCACATGTTTGATCTGGTTGCATGAGGCCTGCAGATCAGGCTCTTCAAACATTGCTAAGGCACTTTGCTGGAGCTTGGGAACGGCAAATACGTGGAGACTATAAGATCACAAGATAGCATAAAACTCATAAGACCTCAGAAAGTTTGATTCCAGACAAGCCCACTTTCTGGAGCCTCTACATTGGCCCGTGAAGCACTTCCCGTGGATCCCTTGACTGATGGGACTGCACTCAGGGATTGAGGCACTTGGAAACATCAGGGTCATGACCTCACATCATTTCCTTGAGCGCAAGGAGCTGATCCAACGGCAGGCGAACTTGGAAGCCTGGCACCCGGAGTCGAAGGACAAGTGACAAGGGCGAGGATGAGGGTTGAAGAAGATGATGGTGATGGTGTGGTGATAATGGTGATGAGGATCACCGAACGTCGTGGACACCGCGCATCATCCCGGTCCCCAGCGACATGCTGAATTTACACTTGGCGCACAATCACGCGAACGCACTTTCCATCGAGGCCGCGCAAAACGGCGTGGCGCAGCAACATCACAGACGTATATAGTTTGGCCACTCGGTGTGCCACAGACCAGATACAACAATGTAACAACAAGCCTCGTGGACCAATCGTCCCGCTCCCCAGCGACATGCCAAATTTCCACCAGCATGTTTTCCCTCCCCCAATGGCACGGACACACACTTATTGAAATGCGTACTGACTCGAATGCCGCCCGCCACACGGCAACCTAGGGTACCAAGTTCCTGAAAGGTCAGGTAGTAAGGTGGGGCCTGATCATTTCTAGTCGTTAGGTGGCCAAACTCCAAAACGCAAGAAAGCAAAAGCAAAGCCCTATGCGTGACTGCAGAACCGAAGCAAGAAGAAAGATCTTGTTCTAGTTACAAGCAGGGACCAAAGCTTGGTATCCTCCAGCTGTCACCCCACAAACCCAGGAGGGATCAAATTGCAGGTACGTTTTCACGACGACATGGATGGGTCTTCGTTGGCTCGTGCCATCCATGCGTCCACGAGCCCCCTGCTTTTACAGGAACCTTATGACTCCAAAGGTTACACACACACACACTCATGGATATGCGTACTGACTTGATAGCGGTGCCACACGCCGGCCTAGGGTTCCATGTCCTAAGAGTATCGGTAGGGAACCAGCGAATCCTGGGGGTCTTCAAACCGGAGAAATGGCCCAAAGAAGAAGAAATCGAACGACGGACGAACAGGCTGACGACGGTCCGCTCGCATCTGCAGTTCAAAGAAAACATCAAAACTTCGAGGTTCTTGGCTTAGCCTCACGCCATTCAGGAAGGAAGAAGGAAAAACGCAGGTACGTCACTGGACGTCTCCAGTGATATCAGTACCGTCACAGAAGCCTCTTCGTTGGACTGTCACTTCTGTGGGGTAGACAGTCCCCCTGCTGTGAAAGAAAACAGAAAGGCAAACCTGAAAAATCCAAAGGATCCCTATGATTCCAAGGGTTACACGCACACGCCTCCCCTCGCGAGGCGTAAAACTAAGGTGAGGGCCAATGTGTACGTGTGCGCGCGCAAGACAAAAGAATGAAGACATGACAGGAGGACGAGACGGGGCAAAGGTGTGTGTGGTGGAAATGAGAAAGGAACCAAGCGCACAGGGACACCCGATGAAGCCCACCTCATTGTAAAGACCTGGGCGACCTGAAACCTGTGTTTAAAGGTATGCAAAAGTGCACGTACACACTAAGGCCGGGACCAATGTGCACGCAAACGAAGGAAAGGATGAGATGACCAGACATGAAGACAGGAGGACGTGAAAGAAAGGAGGAATCAAAGGTGTGTGAAGGGGAAGTGGTGAAAGGGGAACCAAATGGAGGGGACGGAAACCGATGAGACCAAACCTCATTGCAACGACCTAGGTGACCTGCCTCGTTTCAATGTGCACGCTGTGTGTGCATCCGAGGTTGCGACAGGTCCCAATGGACCTTAAACTTGCTTTGACCGCTGTGGTCACCTTGTGCCCTGCCGAAATGGCTGGCTGCTTTGACCGCTACAGTCACGTACAGGCATGAGCCAACTTGGAATTCCAAAGATGGGGCAAAAATCATCGTACGTACGGCCTAGGCCACCTTCGCCCGCTCTGGGCACGTACATCTCCAAAGCAAGGGAGATAACGACAAACCCCCGTTCAACGGGTCCACGGGAGGCACTCTGCGGGCTCATCCCGCTGGCACGTGGCCAAACACACTCATGGATATGCGTACTGACTTGATAGCGGCGCCACATGCCGGCCTAGGGTTCCATGTCCTAAGAGTATCGGTAGGGAACCAGCGAATCCTGGGGGTCTTCAAACGGAGAAATGGCCCAAAGAAGAAGAAATCGAACGACGGACGAACAGGCTGACGACGGTCCGCTCGCATCTGCAGTTCAAAGAAAACATCAAAACTTCGAGGTTCTTGGCTTAGCCTCATGCCATTCAGGAAGGAAGGAAGGAAAAACGCAGGTACGTCACTGGACGTCTCCAGTGATATCAGTACCGCCACAGAAGCCTCTTCGTTGGACTGTCACTTCTGTGGGGTAGACAGTCCCCCTTGCTGTGAAAGAAAACAGAAAGGCAAACCTGAAAAATCCAAAAGGATCCCTATGATTCCAAGGGTTACACACTTGAGATATTGTGTACTGAACTGAATGCAGTGCCACACGCCGGCCTAGGGTTCCATTTCCTAAGAGTACATGTACAACCCACGGGAACCTTGAGGACTTCAAGAGGAAAGAAGGCCAAAAGCTCAAAGCGAAGACGGTCCGACAGGGTGACAACGTTCGTTCATGTCTGCCGAGTGAGGTTCTGGGCTTAGCCTCATGCCATCCGGAAAAGGAAAATGCAGGTACGTCGGTGAGCGTCCCCACCGATATCAGTGTTCAATGCAAGCCTCTTCGTTGGGCTGGTACTTGCATGAACAACCAGCCCCCCTGCTAAAAGCTCAAAACAATCCGAAAGGATCCCTATGATTCCAAGGGTTACGCACACACGCCTCCCCGAAGGGAGGCATGTGTGACCTCCATCCTGCCCGGAAAGGAGGTAGGCACATGTACACGCAAAAGGGACAGATGAAAATGAGGAGGACAAGACAAACAAAGGTGTGTGTGGTTGCCGATGAAAAGGAACCAAGTGAAGAGGGACAACCGATGAGCCAAACCTCATTGTAACGAACCTGGGCCACCTGAACCTCGCTGTAAGTAAAGTACGCGTGCGTGTATGTGTACAAGCTAAGGTCCGGACGAAAGTGCGCGCAAGAGAAAGAAAGGATGAGGATGAAGAGGCATGAAGACAGAAAGACATGAAAGAAAAGAGGAAAAAACCGTCTGTGGGGGCCGATGAAAGGGGAACCAAATGAACGGGGACAAACCGATGACAAACCAAACCTCATTAGAAAAACCTGTTGCAGAAGCCTAGTTTGCTTGTAAAACACGCCGCGCGCGAGGAAAGAGGGGGCAGGGGGAGGAAGAAAAGAGAGGGAAAGAAAGAAGGAGACAAAGGTGCTCCCAGCTACGACAAACGCGTCCAGGGACACACCAAAAAGAAGGGCTCCCAGCTATGACGAAGCATCCAGGGACACCCAGGGAAGAGGGTGAAGAGAGGAAAGAGAGAAGGAAAGAAAGAGAGAGGGAGAAAAAGGGAGAGGAAAGGAAGGTGTTCCCAGCTACGAACAATCGTCCAAGGACACACCCAAGAAAGAGAGGGGAGATCCTGAGTATTGCACTCAGGAAAACGCCAGAAAGCAAAGAAAGAACGGGGAGGGAAGGGGGAGAAGGGGAGCTAAGTGCTCGACAGGTTCCAATGAACCTCAAAAGTACTTCGGTCGCTCTGACCTGACCACGTTGAGGCGTTAAGCCAGCTTGGACCGCTGCGGTCACGTGAAGGCATGAGCCAACTTGGAATTCCAAAGATGAGACAAAAATCATCGGACGTACGGCCTAGGCCACCTGCTGTCCGCTGCGGACATCTGCGTTCCCAGCGCGGGGGAACGTTGGACATACACCCGTTCGACGGGCCCACGGGAGGCACTCTGCGGGCTCATCCCGGGTTGGCGCGAAGCCAAACACACTTGAGATATTGTGTACTGAACTGAATGCGGTGCCACACGCCGGCCTAGGGTTCCATTTCCTAAGAGTACATGTACAACCCACGGGAACCTTGAGGACTTCAAGAGGAAAGAAGGCCAAAAGCTCAAAGCGAAGACGGTCCGACAGGGTGACGACGTTCGTTCATGTCTGCCGAGTGAGGTTCTGGGCTTAGCCTCATGCCATCCGGAGAAGGAAAATGCAGGTACGTCGGTGAGCGTCCCCACCGATATCAGTGTTCAATGCAAGCCTCTTCGTTGGGCTGGTACTTGCATGAACAACCAGCCCCCCCTGCTAAAAGCTCAAAACAATCCGAAAGGATCCCTATGATTCCAAGGGTTACACACACACACACACACACGCCCCCCCCAAAAGAGGCAAAAAGAGTTCTGTAAGCCTAGGACGGTAGTGTAAGTGTGCGCGCAGCAAAGACAAAAGATGAAGACATGAGAAGGAGGACGAGACGGGGCAGAGGTGTGTGTGTGTGCCCCTTGTAGTCATAGGGATCCACTCGGATGGTGCTGATTGTGTTTGTGCTGGAAGCAGAGCCTGATCAGCTCTGTGTACCTGCTGGATTTTTAACATTTGCTGAGTTATGTCGTAAAGTGCTAATGCATTCTGCAGTCACGCGCGGACCGCCGTCGTTTCGAACGTCATATCGTGGAGTTGGACCCCTGGCCTTTAACTAAAGGCGCGCAGCCCCCCTCACCTGGTTTTTCAGGATTTGATTTCTTAGGCTACCGCTGTTCAGTCAGTATGCATTTCTATAAATGTGTTTTTTCTAGTGAGAGCCCAGGCCCGCAGAGTGGCCCCTGTGGACGGGGGTTGGTCTATGTTTCCAATGCCGTGGAAACGCACATGCCCAGAGCGGGCGTAGGTGGCCTAGGCCGACAAAACTCAGACTTCTGTCGAATTTTTGAATTCCAAGCTGGCTTATGCCTTTACGCGGCCATAGCGGTCAAAGGTGGCAGCCTCGGGCAGGCCGTGCGTGGCCGCAGCGACCAACCCGCTTGGCGATTCTTTCCCCTCCCTTTTTGGAGCGTGTTACCTCCCCTCTAAGTACAACTACGTGGCTTGGATTCTGCCATCCTTCAAGCGCTGCAGGTCACCCAAACCGCTCTCCACTACACCCATGAGTTGATGACCACCTTCGGTTTGATTCACACATTGCGCCACAGCTCAGAACAACTTAATGCCGAACTACGTGGACGCATCTCCTTTGTGGATCATCGCCTCCTTCTCCCTTCGGTTTCGGTTCCGGACACCCGGCCTTCATCCTCCCCAGCGACGACCACATCTATGATGGGCTACGACCGACCCCTCCATCGCTTTGATTCTGGACCCCATCCCCGCTCGACTACGTCTACTACCAGGCCAGTGCACGGCATCACGGTGGCCACTAGTACGGGACCTCGTCACCGCTCTGGCCCCATAGCGCTGCTTCGGACCGGTCTCGTTATCGTTCACGCCTGAACCCGATTTAATTTGATGGTCTCACCCGTATTTTCTATGGCGCTATGATCTCAAAAGAGCCCTTCTATTTCAGCGGTTTTTATTTGTCTTCTCTCACGTGGACTTCGGCCATACCATCACACTTTTCTGTGCCAATGTGGTCCTTCCACTCCAGCCCCATGATGTCACTGTACATTCCATCCCACTTTTAATCTTCCCCCACACGTCCCAATCCTTCCCCCCCGCATGTCATGATTTCTTTCCGGTTGGCGTTTATCTTTGATCTTTCGTTACCCTTGCGCCATGGAACGGCGGGACTCTTCGGACACCTCTCACCGCCGACGCCGTCGCCCCCCACAGTGGCCCTCATTCCCCCACACGGACCCCACACCTGCAGCCCCACCTGCTACGACGGGGACATCCACTACTACCCCGGCGAGGGGTGAATTCACATCTCAGTTCCTCGGCCGAGCATGCCACTTCGACCTCGACCTCCTGTCGGCACCATCCGCGCACACACGCCTCGGGCACCCAACACCTGGCCTGCTTTCCCTCCCACACCACCTTCACAGCTCAACCCTCACCTCCCCCCACTTCCACCCCACAAGGAGCACCTGCACCACGAGCCTCCATTCAACCCCCTCAACCACGGCGACATCTCTCGCCACGTTCCCGCGCACACCCGTCCTCGCCGGATCATCGACGTTAACGTGCTCCACCTGGACGTGAGATGGCCGCGATGAACGTGATGCACGCAGACGTGAGCATCGCTCCCGCGACTCACCACACCCCCTGTCCCATGGAAGCCATCGCGATCATCGCTCTCATTCTCGCGCTCGCGACCGCAGTCGAGTGCGACGATCGACTCGGGAACGTGATCGCCCCGGGACTCCCGTGACTGTCGACCACATGATTCAGATCGCCGACGACATCATCCCGCGACAGCAAGACTCAGATCGTCGACGTGCTCCCACTCGACGTGACCGTCATGATTCCAGGTTGTCACCGGCTCCTTGGCGCAGCCGCTCTCACCGGGACCGTCGTTCTCCGGCTCCTGCGAAATCGGCTCCTTCGACCCGACCAAATTCTGAACATGCCTCCTCTGCGGCACAGGCGCAGCCACTACGTTGACCCCGGGCCCTGGGGATGCCACTACTTTGCCGACCGCCACACCTGACCCGGACAACGCGCCTTCTCGACCCACCACACCTCCTCAAGCTTCAACGACACCTTGGGATGATGGAGTGCCCATGAATGATGCTCAGGTCTGGGCGTAGAGCCTTGTTCGCGACTCGTTGTCGTAGCGTTCGCAACCGCAACCGACCGCCGCCGTCCGCGGTAGGCCTCTATAAGGTGAGTTTTGGAAGAAGTCTCGTGCAAAACGCTCGTTTTGCAGTCTTGACGTATGACTTTTGGAGGAAGTCTCGCGCAAAACGCTCGTCTTGGAGATGCGTGTGGCGGTTGATTATGGGAGACTTTCGTAGCAGTGCCTCACCAGCGTATCCTACAGAGTCCTACAAGAGTGTCCCACAAGAATGTCCAACAAGAGTGTCCTACTAGAGAGTTCCGCAACGGTGTCCCACAAGAGTGTCCTACAAGAGTGTTCCGCAAGAGTGCCCCACAAGAGTGAGTGTCAGACAAAAGTGTGCCGCAAGAGTGACAAACAAAAGTGTCCCACAAGAGTGTCCCGCAAGAGTGTCCCACAAGAATGTCCGACAAGAGTGTCTTACAAGACTGCCCCACAAGAGTGTCCTACAAGAGTGTCCCACAAGAGTGCCCCACAAGACTTTCCCACAAGAGTGCCCTACTAGAGTGTTCCGCAAGAGTGTCCCACAAGAGTGTCATATAAGAGCGTCCCGCAACAGAGTCCTGCAAGGGTGTTCCGCAAGAGTGCCCCGCAAGAGTGTCCTACGACAGTGTCCCACAAGAGTGACACACAAAAATGTCCCACAAGATTTTCCTGCGAGATTGTTTCGCAAGAGTGTCCTACAAGAGCGTCCCACAAGAGTGACAAACAAGAAGTGACAAACAAGAGTGTCCCGCAACATTGTCCCACCAGAATGTCCGACAAAAGCGTCCTACGACCACAAGCCTACAAGAGTGTCCTACAAGAGTGTCCCACAAGAGTGTCCCACAAGAGTGAGTGTCATACAAGGTTTTCCACAAGAGTGCGCAAGAGTGTCCCACAAAGGTTTCCGAAAAGAATGTGTCCTACAAGAGTGTCCCACAAAAGTGTCTCCTACAAGAGTGTTAATACTTGTTCGAGCGTTTGTTTTCGAGTCGTTTTTTTCATTCGGGTTCGTGGGTTCCATCTTTTCGTTTTTTTCATTCAGCTCCACTCCTGTGACCGCTGCGCAGATTGAACGTGAATTCAAGCACTTGGTGGATCGCAAGGCAGTTTCAGCGCATACATTGCACGTGGGTTCTTGTGGCGCAAGCTGGCTGTCTTCCTCCGGAATGGAAGAGTGGCTTGATTGTTTTTCTGTCTGAGCGCACTTCGACCAATAGCGTCTTGCGTCCGTTTATGTTCAGCAAGCCATGTGACGGAAATTGTATGGCGGTTGCGAACTGTTTCTGGATTTCACACAGGCCTTTGACTATATGCGCAGAGGGGCACTCCGGAAAGCTTTTGATTTGCTTTCCATACCGCCCTTAACGTCCAGGGTACTTCTCCATTGGCACTGCGACACACAGTACATCCTGACCTATAAGAGACACAGTAGAACCATTCCGACCTACAAAGCGGTGAGACAAGGCCGTATTACTATGTTCTATGCAGATGAAGGCCACCTCTGCTTTTTGTTTGTCGCTCTTGCCGAACTTGAACATGGCCTTCAATGCCTGGATGTGCTTCACAGCATGGGGATGACCGTCAACCTGCAGAAATCAGCAGTGTTATTTACTGGAGAGCGCTTTCAAAGACAACGGATGAATCAGAAACTCCTTTGAGTTCAATGGGCCCGCAATCCCTATGAGATTCCCATGAGGCTCTCACGACGACTTGGGATTGAAGATTGGAGACAAACGTACATTGAGACTCTCCATGCAACATCCACTTGGAGCCAGTGCTCACAGATTTTGTCAAATGCTCCCCTGGTTCAAGCGGGGGATTCGACGTACGTTGGAGCAAAAGCCTTCTCTCTGGTACACATGCATTTTTCACATTGCTGTGTGTGGGAGTGGCGCTTTGGGCGTCGCAATGTCCACTTTGACGATGCTTCAAAAACAGAGGATGCAACGCTCCGGACTCTTGTTGCAGATCATTCTTTTTTGACACACGTCGTGTCTTGTGAGTCTTGTGGCCAACGATCATGGTGGAGCAGAGCTGTGTGACTCCTTGCTCCGGGGCGTCCTTGCAAGGAATCTTGGTTGCTGTTGGGCCGCGGTGCTTGCTGCAGCGCTTGCAACACCATCACGCTGAACTGTGGACCCGCGCCAACTCGAGCTGTGTGCACTGCAGGCGGCAGTGTGCATGCCAACCTTGTTATTGTCAGGAGATTGAGTGTATGGACGATCCCGTTTGTTCCTGCCTCATGCACTTTGGGATGCTTCATGTCTTTTTGCGAGAGCGGCGAAGACCAAGCCGGGCATAGCGCCGAGGCATTGGCATGCGTTGGCGCTGCAGTTGGCTCGCACTTTTGCCTAAGGCCACTCGTAGCATTTTGAGCACAGGCCCGTCTGAAAGAGATGGAGGAGGGTCCACGCGACCGCATGAATCTGAGGGCGTAGAGAAAAAAGATGATGATGATGATGATGATGGTGATGGTGATGACGATGATAAAGATGATCGTTGGACAGTTGAAATTGGTAGCCGCTCTTGAAGGAGAACCCTTTGGAGGTGCTTTCGGGAAAAAAACTCAGATCAACAGGAGAAACACACGCACACACACACACACGGAAGGAAACAAACATTCAAACGGAACATGACGGGAAGACTTGGACAGAGCCCTTTGATCGTGGCCGGCGGAGTCCAGGCACGTGACCGGCGGCATCGTTTTGCTGCCTTGCACTTGGTGAGTGCCCGTGGAGGTCTGGGTGGCTCTTGGTTTTGCCGCTTTGCGGAGGTGGATTTGTGCGGCCGGGGCGGCGGATTTGGGCAGTGGACTCAGTGGACATTGTATGCAGTAGCCACTTTCAGGAGGGAAACTTCACTGCTCTTTTACAGAGTGGCCAGGAGTGTTGACATTCTCCGTTTCCAACCGCGAAACATTGCCCAAATTCATACCGTATAGCTGACCTTGATGTCAATTGAAGTGCTACGCACTTTTGTTAACTACCAGCATTGGCCTCCAACCTTCTAGCGATGGCCTCCAGCCTAATAGCGATGGCTTCCCCCTAAATAGCATTGGCAATGGCCTCCAAAATATTGTGCATCTCGGAGTGTTTTGCTGTGGTAACGGGCCCACGGTCAACTTCTGATGGGCGGGCCTGGTTTTTGTCAGGCTTTGAAGACCTGGACCTGAAACCTGGCTGTTTCCAATCTATTGTGACTATTCCAAGGACATGTTTTATGGCTTCAAGTCATTCGGACAGAAGTTTGGTAGATTTGGTAGTAGCTGCAAGTGGTCCAGTTATCAGACACGTCTCGCGATTTGCAATAGCACGTGGCAGGTGGCCAGTTGATATTCGCACTGATGTGCCCTAAGATGATGAACCTTCCCACAACACGCTCAAGCCAGCAGCAGCAAATAAGCTGATATCAATTGGAACAACTCTTCCATGCAACATAGACTCATAAGCAAGAATTCCATCACGTGAGGACAAGAACTGTATTTTGTCAACCGTTAGAACCATGATTGCCTTCCAGTTCTATAAGACGATGGGTCATGGCAAGAATTTGCAGTTTAAGCAAGCTCTTCTGCCCATGCCACTTGAATGACGGTGACATGCAATCTGCGCTGCACCTGGTCCAGCGTCGAAAGGGCGGCAGACGCTTCTGGCGCGATGAAGGCCATGGGTGGACGGGTCTTCAAAGGCAGGGGAGGTGAGGTCCATGTGACTTCATTGAGCTCGCAGGAGGTGCGCATTTTGATTTTCCATTTTGCTGCCACTTGCAGCCACTTGCAAGTGGCTGCCAAGTGGTTGCAAGTGACTGCTACTTCTGTCTGGAGAATTTCATGATTTCTCCGCACGCAGTTCTGAAAAATACCAAGATTTCTGCAATGCTGTTCAGCAAAGAGTTTCCGGGTTTCTCCAGAGCTGCGCGCGGAGAAATCATGAAATATTGCAAGATTTTTCCGAGAATAAATTCCAAACTTCTGCAGAGCTAGCGACGAAGAAATCTTATATTTTTTACATAAAGAACTCAAAGTGCCAATGTTGAAGTTTACTTGCTTGAGTAACAAGTGGCTGCAAGTGGCGGCCAAGTGGCTGCCTGAGCAAGTGGCTGCAAGTGACAGCAAAACCAAAAATTGAAATGTACGTCATTTGCTCGCTCTCTGTGAAACTTAGTCGCTTGATGATATATTATATATTTCTGAAGATCAACATCGAAGGATTTAACTATCCTGCCGAATTTCATGTTCCACCTTTGATTTGGTCTTGGTGGTACCTATTGGATCCCACATGACTCTCCTTCCCAGATAGGTCTCCAGGGTCATCAAACTTCCCAGGTGGTGGTAGCTTTGCTCGTTTGGTGAGTGGTGCATCAGATGTGGAAGAGACCTTCTTCCGTTCTGAGACCCAACCTGTCCTCCATCAGCCACTTGATCCGACTCTTGGCTGATCACTTCAGGAATGGCAAGCTGATCAAGATCTTGTTTTCGTTCCGTAGCACTTCATCAAAGTTTTGGTATATACCGTACCCCCGTGCCGCTTCATTTGCTTCACCTCCTTTGTGCTTTTCTGGGTGAAAAGTCGCCTGCGCTTTGTTCTACTTGCCCTGTGTGACTCATACAACTTCATGCCGACTGACTCGAGCCTGTACAGCTCAGGAAGCTGGCTCATGCACACCTGGAGATTGCAGCGTTTGCAAAGAACATCTCCCTCCTGGACAGCTTAGCCGAAGACCTGGTAAAGGCCAGGCGAAGATAAGTTCGTCCAGAGGACCTGACAAAGGTCCTGAACAGCGCCGGAGTTGGCGATCCCCCAGATCGTATCCCCAGATGTTTGTGTTGCTCCAAGTTCTTGACCCACTGAACCGGAAATGAGAAAAAACACCGTTGGAACAAACTCTAGTCACTCTAATTTGGTTCGCACTGGCTCGGAAGCTCTTTCTTCAACGACCGTTTTGCAGTCTGCCGAGCTCGTATCTCCGTGGGGCGATCCAGGCACTGGATGATTTGGAAACTGCAGCGCACCAAGTGCGGTTGTTTCTTGGCAAAAGTCATTGATGCAAAGTTTCAGTTTTTTTTGTTTTTGCGGTCTTCGGTGTCCGTTTGTCCCTCTTCTCGTCCGACTGGGATTATGACACTCCAGGAGGCAGCGAGGCTACTCGCTGCTGCGCTTCTTGGGTCTGGAGCGCGAGGAAGACTCCGTGCCTTGGCAAGTGAGACCGGTCCAAAGCGAAGCTGTGAAGACCCGGGTGGTTCCAATGGTGCACGAGTTTTCCATAGTCATGAACACTAGCAATGTAGAATCTTGATTGATATATAACTTTATATAACCCTTCCCATTTTGGATTGTAAAGCCTTTGTATCACCACCAGCGCAGCCCGTCCTGAACGAAAGTCCCCTGTTAGGACGGAGGTCCACAGCACTGCTGACACTCATGGTCAGACAGCGCATTTTGTACATTGTGAAAAGGAAAGAACCAAAACCACGACCACACACGTAAACACAAACTCAAGAGGGAGAGTGCAGTGGGATCTCCCATGACAAAATATTCTTTGAACAGCCAGCATCCATCATCCGAGCCAAATCGGTAAACTCCCCAGAGGTAAAGAAAGGAACAGCACCAAGTATAGCTCCCTGCGGAAAGGTACGACCTTCCGACTTGTGCGTTTGAAAGCAAGTCCGACCAGGAAACATATGGTGAGACTCAATTATGTCAATGTAGACAAACATCCAACGCAGCCAAAAAGACAGGTCACGAAAGGAGATGTTGTCTCCTGTGTAAAGTTTCTGTATATGGGGGGTTTCACTAAATCACAGATTCTACATTATGTAGATTCTACATCATGTTCTTCTAGAACCTCGCACCACTCTCGGCTCTTTCACTCGAGACCGAAATGTTTCGGCCCAACATCGGACAGTGTGACGCGGACGTCGATCAACACCCGACCGGGGAGGGCATTGGCATTTTTTGTGTGCGTGCTCCAACCTAATAGCGATGGCCTCCAACCTAATAGCAATGGACCGGGGTACCGTTACCAAGGTGCCCACGTTGGAAGCTCCCCTTCTCGCAAGGCCAGGGGAAGCCACTAGCGTTGAAGATGGTCATGTTCGATACAGGAAGAGTACACATGTTGGGAGGGAACAATTTCAACTTGAAGGGAACCAGAGCTGTCCCTAAACATAGAGTCAGTTGAGGGAGAAGAATGAGGAGACTTGAAGAAACACAGGAACCGCAGTTGCGATTTAGCATACTCCCCAAGGCAAGCCATGCCGCCAAATTGACGGTTAATCCAAGCCTATCGAATATCAATGGTCTAGTCTAGAGCATATGTTATATCATATGCGAGAGCTTTCCGGCCAAAGCAAAACAAGATGTGCATTGGACATTCTTTATGTTTCTCTCCCAGTGGAAGAGCAAGCGAGTCATCTTTGTGTTTGTCTGCCTCTGACAGGTCGACCAGATTCCATCCCAGGGATATGACCCCAAAGGCGAAGATGGTTCTGCAGATGCGTGGCAGGTTCATGAGCAGCTTGGCGAGTACCTGAGTACCTGAGTATGCATGTGTACATGCTAGAGTGACCCTTTCTTTCTAGAGTCTTTTTTTGGGCCGTGCGAATCTGAGATCAAATTCGGGTTGATTCCTGCAATCCACTGACGGGACCACACTGTCCACCAGTGGTGGCAAGTAAATCCTATCTCCATTGGCGCAACATTCCCAAGGAAGGCCGGTCCACAAGCTACCCTCTGTTTGTTGTTCCATGCGCAGCTCTTCACTGTTGTTTAATCAAGGTCTTTTGAATGACTCCCTCGGCTACGTAAAGGAGCATCCCAACCAAGAAGGCCTGGCATTGCCGTGACTGGTTATCATGCACTAGCATCGCTTCATGTTGAGGGCATTGTAGTTGGACGTGACATTGACATTGACATGGTCTATCCCGATTGAGAGCAACAAACTTAGATTTGCTTCGAATATAAACGCTTGGCCACAGGCCTTGCCTGCAGCTCCTCTTTGAAATTCTTCAACAAGTACCAATACATTCTTTCATTTTTTTCTCGCGATAGGCAATGGTACATGTCCGACTGAATGGCTTTGAACAGACAATGCCAGATCAAACATCTTCTTTCAAGGACAAAGAAGGACCATCGCTGAAGATGACTCGACCGTTCGGGTCGCTTTGCAAGAGGAGAAATGAAAGTACACTGTTGATGATGGTTCGATCATGTTGGATTTGTAGTGGTTGTAAGCCAGCAAATCATTGAAGGGTTTTGACTGGGAAGCTCTCCAGGACACGTTCTCGGACCTCTTACCAATGCCGCGATGCCCAGAACGGCAGGTGTGGCCCTCTTCCACCAACGCATCACCATGGCCCTCAACATCATCGGTGATGCCGACCAGCCGGCACAGGTCTTAGCCGCGGTGAAGGCGGTTCCGGGTTCCGGTGAGTCGGGACGATGGTGAGTCGGGTTCTTGAGGAAGCGACATGGCACCGATGGGTTGGTTCATGTGTTTTTGTATGATTTCTTTAGCCGATTCAGTGACGCCGCGACGCCATGGCAGGAGATTCGAAGGCTCTTTCCCTTCGAAGTTGACCCGTTGGATGATATGCCATTCCTGGCCGTCACATGGTAGAAGATGAGTTGCGGGTTGTCTTTTTGCATGAAACAAGAAAGCTGTGGCTTCAGAGAGTGCAGAGTGCAGTGCAAGGTGTACATGTGCTCTTTGAGAATACGCTGGTCGTACTTCTTATTGTACTGGGCTCAGTGGAAAGAGCTTGAACATCCCCACCGGGACCCCCACCCACTAACCATGCTGATGGCTGTGGCCGGCTGCGGCCCCGGCTTTGAGGTGTGCATTGTTCACTGCACTGGCACTCTTTGCGGGCACCATCACGGAGCTCTTCTTTGCTGTGTCTGCTGGCATGTCCAGAATGGGCTATGAAGAACGAGACAAGCGTTTGAGTTGATTTGCTTCTCTTTATCCCGAATAGTCACTGAACATGTAATTTACACTCAGGTTTGCTGATGGGGACAAGTTGGACTTTCAGGCCATCACCCTCTATTTTGAGTGATTTTTCCACCCTGTTGAATGGTCTCGCAGGTTTGTATAATCATACAAACCTACAATGAGTCATGAGTAATTATATGGACAATTAGACAGGTTTCTCAGGGGAGCAGCATAAAAGATTCGTGCCACAAGATAGCTCATCTTTCATGCATTCTGGGCAGGTTTGGCTCAGCTTTTGGTTGTTGCCTTTTGGTGCAATGCTTTTGGCTTTGGTGGGTGACGAGATGAGCGACCTCGCCTCCCGGACAAAGTCGCTGTTTTGGGGGGGTGAAAAGCAACTTTTGACTTTGATCGTTCGCAACTTTTCAGAACTTATTGATCAACTGGCAGATCCACGACCCGCATTGGTATTTTCATTTTTCGCTACATCCAAATATATATATATATGTATTGCCCAAGCCTGTCCTGCAGGTGCAACATTGCACATTTCGTGTGGTCCTAGAATACCACCCAGCTTCAACTGTATACATTCCAGATACAAAGATTTGGGTGCCACGCCCTTTGTTCGCCTTAGGTTTCACAGAAGTCTTATTGGTGGAATTGTCTCGCCACCTCAACTCCGGCAAAATTATGATGCGATAAAGTCTTCTGCAGACCTGCAGATTACGCATCGCAGCCGAATCAACCCTATCCTCTAAAACGACGTTGACCACTTTGTCCAGTTCTTGATAAAGCACCGATCGCCTGTGTTTTTCCGCCGGATATTCCATTTAGCAAGAGACATATTCTCTACCAACGAGTCAAAAAGTGCCTTCTTTCGACTATGGGCCAACAGCTAAATGAGATGCCTTTCGTTCGCCATAATTCACGTCTTTTGGGTTTCTTTTGAAACGTTGCTTAAACCGGTTCCGGGAATATCTATGTGGAAAACATTTTTTTGCAATTATGCGGTTCTTTGGTACATACCAAATTCTTCTTACTACCCCACATAGTCGAAGAGTTCGCAAGATGAAAAGCACCGTTTTTGGGGTTTTCTCGGCAAGATTTTGCGCCACTTGACCTGCGGTGTAGCTGGGGAACATGTTTCCAGTACCCACTAGAATAGCTTTCCTGAGCTTTAGCGAGTTGTCATGCAACTCAGGTCATCGACGCAATAGATCGTCCGCCACTCCTGTGGCATCTTGCCATATCAGTCGGACTGAGGGTTGGACCGAGGAGAGGTTTTCTGTGAAAGGGTTTTCACCACTTGGTATTCAGAGGTTTTCAGTGCCATGACTCGTGCCATGACTCTCCACACTTTCGTTGGGCAGTTTGATAGGCCATCTTCTTGTTTGAGATTTTTGCACGAAGAGCGGTGCTTTTGCCTCACTCAACCCGGGTATATCGTGTCGTCGTGATATGTCGGAGATCTTCTAAAATGAACGTCTTGGTGTAGCCTGTAGCCAGGCTCCCGAGAGCTAACGCGCACGCAGCGCCGCACGCCGATGAGTCCGGTCTAGGTGCCTCGCGCTCCTGTTGGCTGCTTTGCAACGCGACCGGCGATTAGCACCTGCGCGCAGTAGCTGTGAGATGGTGCCTTGGAAATCTTGCAATTGGATCCATCGAGTTGGAAGAAACCGTTTCTTGAGTTGTCTTGTCATTCGTAGATTGAACTGGAAACATCATGAAACATGTCAAAAAACACGTTGACTGCAGGAATTAGCCTATTCCCTTTTAAAAGATGTATTCATCTACCTGAGGATGACATTTGTCATGCTTTTTCACGCGTTTTCCAGCTTGCTTCATGGACTGATCCGTTCAAGGTTGATTTGCTGCTGGTGGTCTTGTCAGAGTTGGTCCCGTTGACCTTCGCTTTGAGGGGTTTCTTGTTGCGCAAAGGATTCTGGCATGGCTACATGCAAGGCGACGACCACAGCTTGTGGGATGCTGTCGACAAGACCAAGCTAAATCGTTTTGGATCTATATGAGATGTGCTGAGTTGCAGTGTCACCAAATTCATTGTTGCAAAGCCAGATGGACCCATTTCAGAAGTTCCTTTCCTCTTGACCGTTTCAGACGACCGTGCTTGACCCCTGAAAAGCCATGAAGTTGCAGGACGTCACCAGCAACCTGTTCTTTTTTCCCAAAAGCATCTCCGATGCTTGAGTTCTCGTTTAGTCGCTAGTGCCGCGGAAGAGCGAGACAAAGCAAGCGTTGTCGTGGACGGAAGATGGGTGTGGACGGGGCTGTGGATGGAACAGAGGGGCGCAATACGGGAGGTGCGTGGGTGTGAACGGGGCTGTGGATGGAACGGGAGGGGTGCGTGGGTGTGGACGGGGCTGTGGATGGAACAGGGAGGGGGAGGCGCGTGGGTGTGGACGAAGGTGAGACGGGAGGTGCATGGGTGGACGGAGCTGTGGAAGGAAGAGTGAGGGGCGCGAGACGGGAGGTGCATGGGTGTGGACGGGGCTGTGGAGGGAAGGTGCTAAGTGGAACGAAGCATGGAGGGGGCCAACGCTGCTCCATGCTTCGCGGCAGAGCGCCGTTGTGCGAGTGGAGCGATCTTGCGCGGCTGATATGCTAGTTACGAGGACATGGGTGCACCCTTCATGCTTCGCGGAAGCACGTTCTGACGCGAAGGGAGCTGTGTTGCAGGGCTAAAATGTGCACAATGCACGCGCCAGACAGTCAAGTCATGGCCGGAACGGCAGGATTGTTGCATGCCAGAATCGCAATGCTTGAAATTTGATGGTTGGAACGAAGCATGGAGGGGGCTGATGCTGCTCCATGCTTCCTGGAACGGTTGTCAGAAGCCATGTTGCAATGGGGTTGGAGACTAGCTGCAGAGATTGAAAACAGCCACTTGATATATATATATATATGTGTGTATATATATAGTACATCCAACCTCCAACCCGACTTAAAAGGGAACTGTCTTGCTTTCTTCTTACTGCAACGATATGTCTATCTAGGGTCTAGGCCGGTGTAAATTCTTAAGATCGAAGCCCGCAAAGGTTTGTTCGAGAAAAACAAACGACAAATCCTCTCCTCCTGGGATATCTCCGCCATATCGACGCCCTGATCATGCCAACGATGCACGCCACGGGAAATCTATGCAGAGAAATTCACACTAGACGACGAATGACCTGAAAGCATTTTACCGCGTGTGATGCATTGTAGCGCTGGCGCAGCAATACACATGTGCGTGCTTTTCCCAAAAGAATCTCCGATGCTTGGGTTCTCGTTTAGTTTAGTCGTTAGTGGGGGGGCAGAGCGAGACGAGGCAAGCATTTTCGTGGACGGAAGATGGGTGTGGACGGGGCTTTGGATGGAGATGGGAGGGTGGGCGGGCGTGGACGGGTCTGTGGAAGGAAGATGGATGCTAAGTAGAACGAAGCATGGGGGGCTAATGCTACTCCATGCCTCGCGGAAGAACGTTATTGCGCGAGTGAAACTGTCTGGCGCGGCCTATATGACGGTCTTGGGTGTCCAGAATGTGTGCAATGTATGCCGAAGACAGCCCAAGTCATTGCAGAAACGGCAGGATGGTTGCATGCCAGAACCGCAATGCCTCAAATTTCATGGTTGGAGCGAAGCATGGAGGGAGCTGATGCTGCTCCACGCTTCCTGGAAGGGTTGTTAGAAGCCATGTTGCAATCGTTTTATGACCGTTTTGGAGGGCTTTCAATAATGACCAAGGGGTGTATATGGCAGACGGGGGTGGACGGATGCGCACCAGAACCGCGATGCTTGAAATATCATGGTCGAAGCCTGGAGGGGGCTGATGCTTCGTTTTGGCCTGCTAATGTGTGTTTGTTTGAAAAATTCCTGGGTTGCGCGCTTCTTTTTGTTTTTGGGTCCGCGGGCTCACCTTGTTTTCGCCAGGAACCTGTCCCCTTCAAACGCTGAATATGACTTTGCGAGGCGGGCTGGTCGCTGCCTTTCTACTGACTGTTGCAGTTCTCCTGGCAGACTTGGCCATTGCTATCCATGGGTTGCAAGCGCAACAGGCACGCAGAGGGTCAAACTTATCCTCCAGTTTGGCTCCAAGAGCTGTAAGGCCTAAGGGTGGCCTGGACCACGTTGGAGCAGGCTCTTGGTGGCCAGTCTTTAAACACATACCTTTGACCACTGCCATGTTCTAGGGGGGGCAGCTGAAAACCAGGCACTGCGACATATCTACCATGTGCTGGACAAGCACAAGATCTTCCCGGGGATCCTGTCCGTCCGGTATGTGACCCGGTATTGCAAAATTTTCTTGTGGCTGAGTATCTGTAGGCTTTGATGAGGACTCTGGCATTTCTTCACTAAGGCAGACATCAGGAATGATGTACGAACGGACCGGAATTGAACCTAAACCGCCACTTCGACCATCAACCTTCAGCACGAGAATGGCTTCTGAATAGATCAGACAGGCACCCTTCCCCACAAGTGTCCAAGTGTTCGCCCCACGCTGAAGCTCTCAGGACACCTTTCGGGCACACTTTGAGCAAGTCTCAAGTGAAGAGTCCAGTGAGAGAAGTTGCCAGCGTACGGAAACCCAAGCTGGTCGCAGAAGCGTTTTCAGGGCCGTTGCGGGGAAAGCTCGGAAGATCCTTGAGAATTGGTTGGAAACCCAAAAAGCTGGCTGCCGAACAAGCTGGTTGTGTGACTCGCCAGAGAAAAAGCCAGTGGCAACATGGGACAACACCGCCAGATTCAACATGCCAGCCAGTGCATGCCATTGAAGGCTTTGCCACCTTGATCCACCGGTCCTGGAAGAGCCTGGCTTCCGTGGTGTCCCAAACTCAGTTCTTGTTGTGGCTGTTGATTTGGCATCTAAAGCCGCCATGTGGTAGGAACTGCAGTAGAAGGCCATTGCCGCATGTATGGTGTATTCTTTCTTCTTTCTATTTCACAAGTATGATGGCACTTCATCGCACTTCATACATCGAAGAGCATCAAGCGCCAAGCTGCTTGGTTTTCTTTCTTTGATGTTTTGGTTCGAGAGCATGGACGTGCAACGCAGTTTGGGTTGAGTATTGACCTGTGTCTTGTGTGCCTTGTGTGTTGTGTGTGTGGGTGTGTGTGTGTGTGAGACGCGGAGCCCTTGACGACTCACCCAACTTCTTTTCAAGTCTTCCTGACATCGCAACTCTCCAACAGAACAACTTTTGCCGTGACCCGTGACCCGTGACCTCACTGCAAACGAGCTGATGTCTTTCACAACGGGCTCTGGCCTGTGGAGGTCGGACAGTTGGGCCTCGAGCCGAGCAGCGATGTCGGGAATTTGGCAAATTCCTTCAGTGCTGGGGGCGTGGACCGTGATCTCCGCCCTGGCCATGCAGGAGTTGCATAGATTTTGGTCCTTCCGGAGATTTGGAGTGGCTCTAGACTCTAGAATACGTTTCAAGAATTTCAACTGCAATAGAGTTGATGTGCAGACAGAGATTGGTGGCCCTGTTCACTGCACAAGTGCAGCAACATTTGCTGGACATATGCTTTGTTGACTTTTCTTTCACGACTGACGGCTGACGTTTTTCAAACATATTTCCCGAGGTCTGCTGCTTAATTTAGCAGTCTGGGGACTTGCATCTGTAAAAAAAGTGTGGCAGAACGACTTGTTGATTTTTCATTTGCTTCCCGCCCTTTCACTGCAGGAAGTGATCGATTTTCCAGTGTGCATCAGTGCCATCATGAAGCTTGCCTTTCATTCTCTCGTTTCTAGCTAACTCCGTCCACGGGATCCGAGCATGTGGTCATTTCCTTGAGTCCTTAGAGCCTTAGGCTTGGCAAGTGCTAGATCAGCCGTGTCTCCTTAAGCCACTTGAAACCGTCTAATTAGAGTTTCTTATGATCAAAGCTTCAGAATGGAGCCTTCTTGGGACTTGATCGGAACAACGCAACCTTGGTACAAATCTGCTAGAGCTGCTTCGCTGTGCAATGTTTGCATTGATTTTATTGGTTTGAGAAGTTTGCAATGTCACTTCTCTCCAGGCCCTAGGAAGGCCCTGGGACCAAAACTACCTTGCACCGAGTGGAGTAGCTGAGTGTCACCAGATCTAAGGATGGTGATCACGGTGGCTACGATGTCCTTGAAGATGGCCTGGACTTTTCCAGACATTGCAGGCCACCGATGGGCTTCTGTGTTTGTGAAAGTAGATGGGTGTGCAAGAACTAGGCAGACCTCTTAAAACCCCGCCAGAAAAAGGAGGGTAAACTAAAATCTGTATTGAAATACACCTCGGACCCATACCGGGAACCCAGCATGGCTAGTGCCAGGACCCTTTTACACCGTGATTCTCATTTTCTTCGTCTCTGCAGCTTTGGGATTGCAGGCCGGGAGTTTGCATGGAGTCAAGACGCCAAGACAAGGTCTTAGGTTCGTAGGAGATTGTACGATGAACAGTTTGCTCCTTCCTTGAAAGTCTCAGAGCCGTGCCATACAGCGAACTCTTATGCGTCCTTGCTCCTTACTACTTTTACTACGACTTATAGCATCTTGATAGCTTCCTTGCTTGCACCCCCACCTGGTTTCCCTTTATTGTCTTTTCTTGGGCCCTGCAGCTTCAGGTTGGTGGAGCCTTCTCACTGGCTCCCAAGGCTGCAGTGGAGCCTTTGATGAATTCTCGCCCAGGTCCGGTCCCCTATGGCATACACCTTTTGTGTTTTATTCCGGGAGCCTTGAAGCTGGAGTGATTGGAGTAGAGCATGTCAGGAATTCCTTGAGTTCGACTCTGACGATCTTCAGAACCAAAGAGACTCACAGAAAGTCTCCAGCGGATGAATTCAGGCGATGAACCCTTGCTGCCTCTGTGGCGCGGGACTGTCGGGGGGCCAGAGAATGAGTTGCCACTCTCAAGAGCCCATGCTTGGATCAGCAGAGAAAGGCTTTGTGAATTGGATCACTGGGAGGGTATAGAAGTGACGCAGGTTATACCGATCAATCAAGCATTCCAAAGTCATCGCGCTTTGATTTGCGCCTTGGCCGTTGATGGTGGGAACGCATCGACGATCATCAACCAAAGCATTTTAACATCAAACGCCCACAGCGACACAATCGCGCGAGGAATGACATGCCGCCCTATGCTGCCTGCCACATCACCTGGGGCTCGCGTGACGCTCAGCTCTCGCAGCTGGACCGCGGGAACACGGCGGTTTGCCACCAAAAACGAGGCCAAACAAGCCTTGCCACCAACAATTTGACCACCAAGATGTTTTTTTATCTATCATAAAAGTATCTATAGTGGGTCATTTTAATTCACTCGACTTCGCATAGACTATGAATGCGCCTCCAAAGCCTCTTAGACGATGTTGCTGAGTGCCTCCAGAACCTCGCAAGAATCATGTGATTGGACATGATCAGTGTGGGGTCTTTCGAACCTGCCACTTTCAGCCACTTAAACAGAAAAGCAGTAGCGACGATCGTTGGTCAAACCTGCGAGGACATGGCGGCCTTGGCCCTTATCGCCTACGAGGAAAACTGCGACGAGATGGATCGATTGCTCAAGGCGCAGCAGTGCTTCTGTTGGATGCTCAAGACTTAGGAGACGAATATGCACTGCTCTAATCCGCTCTAATCTGCTCTATGCTTCGTCCATTACTGCTCTCTTTGCAAAAGCGAATGTCACTTTGGCAGTCATTGTGGTGCCAGGAGAGCTTTGGCAAGCGATCCCCAAGGCAAGGAACACTCATAGTGACGTCATACTGGACAATCTCATTTGCATTGTGTGGATGCTCAGTACTGTTTGCATCACAGAGATTTTCCTTACTCTAGCTTTGTCTCGTCATCCAGCTCAACACCCATAGCTCAAACTGTCCAGCACATCAATGCTCCTGCAGCTCTCAACTGCATGGGCTGATCATCATGCATCGATTTCGCTCTTAAAAAAGGATTTGCATTCAATCCTTGTAGAGAAAGCCCTTCCTGGAGGTTGGAGCATTGCAGCAGCTACAGTGAGTTGCCTCGCTGGGTGGCTGTGCGCTTCTCACCTACACATGGTATAGGATGTGGCTTGGTGTCAGGATATCCGAAGTAGCGAGATCCACCGTCAAAAGCCATCCGGCCCTGCCTCTGTAGCCCTGCCCTGCTAGCTGCTAGGATTTGAACCAAACGCCTTTGCAGATTCCCAGTTTCATTCATGGCCTATCAAAATGTGATCAACATGGTTGCAGGACTGCATGGGCCCTTTCCTTCACTTATGAAAATTAGATTCAGGTGGCACGCGGGTCTTTGCATTGAAGGGCACCTCCTCGTGGCGTGATGTCTATGCAGACATTAAGCTCTTTGCCACCATCGAGGCTGCACTCAGCTCGAGTGTTCCTTGCAACCCTCCTTGGGTTGCACTGAGACACACCCATTGGTGGAGAAACACTATACAACCAACATGAGTGTTGAGTATCCAACATAATTTCATTGGCTCTTTGCAGCTGCGAAAAAACTGTAGCGCAGTTCTTAGTGGTGGATCATCGCTGAAAACAGATTGAACAGTGGTAGCTACACATTGCGTTCAAACTGAGTTGCTCGGACGACGCGCGACTCGAGTCGAACCAAGTGGATTGACTCTGGAGGTTCCTGGATCCCTGCAGCAAACTCTTCCAACCGAAAGACCGTCCTTTGGGAGGGAACGCTTCGGCAGGTGCTGCAGGCCCTGTCCAAGATCGTGCCAATCTTGTCGCTTTTGCCCGTCGCCTTAGTGCAAGGCATTGTAGGATACACAGGCGGCGGTGGGGGTTTCAGCGTCAGAATGAGTTGATCTCCATTTGGACATGAGATTTCTGTTTTCTGTGACTTACTGTACCTCTTAGGTGAGCTCCCCCATCTCCGTCCCCAAACAAACTGTACGATTGACAATTGACACTTATCTTTATTGAGATTTCAACATGTTCCAGGGAACTTTGTGCTCTGTACATCCTGGTCCGGTTGTGAGATCACTGCCCGTGTGGTCAGGCAACGCTGATGCGCATGTTTGGAAAAGCTTGGAGGAAGAGTGTCGTTGCTATGTCAAACTTCTTGAATCCTGTCACGTTTTGTCAACCAGGCAAATGTGCTCTCTGAGAATCAATCTGAAATATGTGTTTGGACTGCGAGGATGCGATCATTGCCAGTGAGAAGGATAGGTCCGATGCTACGGCCTCTTGATCTAAGAACGTGGGTGATGAGGTTGCTAGGTCACTAAATAAGTTAGGTCGCTCAGATATGCTCAGATGGTGAGAAGGACACCTCCAAGGCCCCTGGGGTTCGAGGCTTCTTGTTTTTCAAAGTTCAGAATGTGAACGACGAAGCCAAACTTCTCCGCTGCGAACGGCGCGAAGGCCGCGAAGGCACGCGAACGACGGATGTCCAGGTTTTGACGGGTCACTCCTTGGGCGGCTGCATCGCACAGATCGTGGCAGCGAGGCCGGTCACGAGAGTGGGTCAGACATTCGAACGAGAACAGCGCTTCACACCTATCTCTTTTGGAGCTCCAAAGATGGATCCTGTTGTTTGTTACCCTTGGGACAAAGAACATCCCTCAATAGATGGACAAGGGCATTCTCTTTGTTTTTGTTTTGGACACAGTTTAAAGTTCTTTTACTAGCTTCGGACCAGCACACTGGTTGCGTCATCGACTTGAAACGATCGATGGTGCCATCAGTTGCTGAAGCCCAATCAGACCCTTGTAAAGGCAGCAGCTGCCTGCCTTGGTCTTCTCTTCTCCAGGCTTTGGAGGGTTACTGCTGACTGAGGGGGCCAGGGTTGGTAGGTTCAAAAGCGAGTGACTCCAGGGCATGTATTTATCTACATATGTACAGCTGTAGTATGGAACTCACAAGTGTCTTCGTAGCATGTTGTTCCCATGTAGCCCTTCTTCCCTAGTTCATCCCAATGGTGCAACAAACCTGTCGGCAAAGCATCATGCAGGGCCATGTTCGCAGCGAGAACCCAATTTTCACATTGGAGCATCATGGAACCATCCCCGCGATTTGCCACCATTGGCATTTTTTGACTCTGCTAGGAGTGCTGTACTCCGCACGGCGTTTCCAAATCGTGCCTGAAAGAACCTTGGATCTGAGAAGTCTGTGAAGAAGATTGTTTTGGCTTTTGGCATAGATGCTTCCAGTTTTATGTGGCACAATTGATTTTTGTACCTCTGCAGCCATAGATCCCTGAAATGGAGAGGCCTGAGACCTGAGCTCGCTCAGGCGCTCGCCATGTCGTTGTGGTGGTGCCAGACGGCGATGTGATTGCCACAGTGGATGAACATGCAGGCAACGAAAGGGTACCGTGTAGCAGGGAACCACTGCGTTTATGAGGTATTTGTCGGGGTAGCTCCGGCGCAGGTACCAGGTACTTTTTACACCCCTGCAACATGGCAGGGGTGTTGGGGGTCAGAATGGAGAGTTCCCTGAAACCCGTTTTTCGGCTTGAGGAAACGACATCGTAGAATGTGGTAGGCGTGGTGCAGCGAATCGCTTGCTTCAAGAAGAATGGCCAGGCTGGGATTGCTTTTGAAACCCTGTGGGATGTATAGCGTGTAACAGCTTGTACTACCTTTCACACACAGGTGGCTGTAGCTACTGGGGTAGCTTTTGTTAAATTTGACGCAGCTTGTCCTGTAGCAAGTTTTCTTACTTGCTTGCCATGCACTGTGTGGTAGTGCATTGTCGCACCACCATTTTGCTCATGTTCACCGGGTCCACCGCTGTTCACTATGACCTCATATAGGCGCCCTCCAAGCAATAAACCAGGGTGACATGAATCCCTAAGACATAGCATGTCCATGACAATTTCCCCGATGCAGTATACAGTTCCATTTCCAGTTGAGTCATCCAGCAGGCTGCTTCTACTGCCACCTGCCATCGCCTGCGAAAGACTGCATGCGAAGTGTGGCGTGCTTGTTGGGGCTACCCAGTGTTTGTCGGGCGGCAGACGTTGCAACTAGGAATTGGGAAGACTCCGCTGTACGGGGGCAGACCAGCCTTCCCAACGAACACGCTCAGGTGGTGATGCCTGGGGGCGGGACTTCTCAACCACCTGTGGCGGCTATGTGTCGCCGGACTGTGGGGCCTGGGGCAAGTCTTGAGGAGTTTTCCCTCCAATTGTTTTTGTTTTTTACATACTCTTGATCGAGGAAATGCTGTAATACCTAGGATACTTGAAAGATACATACCTAGGATACTTGAAAGATACTTTACTTGGGGCTTTCTGGTGTTGTGAGGAACAGAAGGAGACTGGGCATGACCCTCCAGTCTGGAGAATTATATATCCCACCCAAACAACTCCCTAATAGAACTATAATTGTAATATAGATTGTGCTGCAGGGTTTGAGACTTGTGAGTTTGTTTTAGCCGCTGAGCGTTTGATTCTTGGAGCACAAAAAAGTTGTTGAGAAGCCTTATAAAAAAGATAGAAGATGATAGAAGAACATATCACCACAACCTTAAGAAGGATCTCGCTTTAGACATGATTCATAGCCCAGAGCTGACACTGTCTTTGCACAGTTTGCGCATTGCCACACCTTCGAAAAATAATAAGACAGTTTTTGGGCCAGACTTTGCTTTTGCCAGGATATCCTTGGGAAATCATTGATCGAACTTCAAGCAATTTGGGAGGCTTTGACCGAAATGCGCCAACTTGCACGCTCTCTACGAGCGTGCAGAGTGCTATCTAAAGAGTCCAAGTCGGAAGCAATTTTGACAAAGTGACTTGTACCTTCCAGCCTGTCAAGTCTTGTGGGGGAAACTCTTGTCTCTTGATCCCTCTCTGAAATGACAAGACATCATCACATCTGTGCTTTTGGGTACCTCTACTGTATCTTCCTTTTTTAAATTTCAAGTCTCTATCAGACTATCCTTCTTTGTCTCCTGATATTCCACCTGAGATTCCACATGTTTTCTTGTTGTCACGAAATCTGGCTCTTGCTAGCTATTTGCAAGAAAGCAAGACTTGGTCAGGCTAGCTCCTGGACCCAAAGCCACCGAGCACTTTTCCTCTTACTTCCGCATCGGGCTGCTGGTCATCCTTTCCTCTACTTTTCGTTCACGCCTGCGGCATCAGGTTACAGCTTCCCAACCTTTCTTCGAGAAAACATCAGGATGAGGCTTCTTTTTCACCCTGGGAAAACAACTATTGATCTTCCAGCAGTGACTCCGCAAAACGCCGGTGCTCCCAGACTGGGGCAGAGTCGCAAGGTCGCTCCGGATGTGTGCGGATCAGGCTGACAAGAGCCCTATTCCGGGGGAGATGGGTATCCATGAGCTGCAACAGTTGCCGGGGGAGATGTCCTCCAAGGCCGTGACCGATGGGAGGTTGTGGGATGGTTTGGGTTCGAAAGAATGGATCGTGAATTGTGGACCTGTGTGATGGGTGAAGAATTCAACTCTTCTTTCTTTGGGAGGTTTGATGCATGGTTTGTGGCTCTGTGGTCGGGGTTTGATTCCTTTTGATTCTTTTTCCAAACCCGGTTTTTGGTGCAGACCTCCTCCCTATTAGTAACAAAGTGCATCGCTACTAGTAGCAAGTGCATCGCTACTAGTAACAGGGTCATTACTGCTAGTAACAAGAAACTACTAACTAATACTGTTGCGATGCGGCACCGGGGTGCTTTTGTTGTTAGGCCAAACGTCTGAAGCGCTTGGTGGAATCTGATCCACCTTGAGCCATTTGGCCACTTGGCCGTGCTTAGGCAAGCGATCATGGGATCTTCTTCGTTTTGGAAGAAATGTGTTGTTCTATGGTGTTCTACTCATGCTCCCGACACTTTTATGTCAAGTAAGTTCGTTTGTTTTCTATGCCAACCGAGCCAGAGCTGGCCAACAAAGGAATTCACCACAGGTGAGTTCCCTAAAACAGCTCTGGGACAAACACCAACGCATGTGCAGTTGCTTTACATCCCGAGGCGTTTTGCAGAGAGGAATGCCTTGGGGTTTTGTGAGGGATGATCAACCGTTGTGTTTGTCTTCGGATGAACAGAACAGGCAAAAACTGACCAAAGCTACTCGTACCAGTAACGACCCAGAGCTCTGATTTTCGGTTTGGGGGTGACGCGGACCACTGGCTCTGGTTTCATTTCTATTTACCAAACACTCAAAATCACCCTTCAAGACACAGCAGAGCATCAAACCATGATTGCTTCGCGACAGTACTTTCTTCTGCTGGAGTTGTTGGTAGCTCAGGCAGGTCCAGGAGGCAAAGCACTTCCAGCTCGAGCCAAAGCTGCTAATCTGTGCTGCCAAGCTGTGACGAAAAAGAGAGGCACTCGCGGCTTCACCTGCCTAGGATCCAGGCACTCCTGACTTTGTGAGGCTGAGTCACAGGCAAAGGTCAGCTATGAACCCCACCATATTGGGAACGTACCTGCCAAGAACAGTGTATTGCAAAGATCAGCTAGCAGAGACTGCAGGACTGTAAGCTGTAGTGATTTCTGCCCGCTGTTTGAGTTGATCCAGCTTCGGACGAGCATGGTTTAGATCCACCTTTTACTTGCAATGAGTGGTATCGATTACTTCGCTTTGTTTGCTTCCCTCGGTCCTTGCCTAGCAGTTTCTTGTGTGCCAGATGCGGCTTTAGTGCACCTGCTGTTGGAACAGAGGGCGGAGGCCTGCTTTTGGAGGAGCGCCAAAGTGCTTTCCCACGAGTACACAAATTGAGATGTCAAAAATGCCCGTTTTTGTTTAGATACTGTACTTTGTTGAACTGCTTCAAGCAATTAAGAAATAAAACATTGGCTCAAGTCCTTCAAAAAAAATCAGAGTGTACGATATGCTGGAAGTATTGACGAAGCTTGAATTGTGCTCGCAAAATGGACCATCCCTATGAGCTTCTTTGATCTGAACTCGTCAGGTAGAAGTGACAGGCCGAGAAGGAGAGACGCCTGCCTGGGCACCAAGAGTTCGGTCGGTGAAAAGCATCCGAAACACCAATCTCCGGCCCTAAGGACGCTACTAGGGGCTCCTGGCCAACTACTAGGAACAAGAAGCTATGAGAAACAAGAAGCTATTAGAATTATATAGAATCGATTGCCTTGGAAGCAGGTGAAACAAGCTTGCTCAGGTCCACCTGGCCAGCTTGATGGGCCTGGGGCTGAGGCGAAACGTCTGAAGCGAGCCTTGGGTTCAGCACAGAAAGGTCCTGAAGCATCTTGGGCATAGTGAATCCATTTTCCGTCCTTGTGAATCTCGTCAGGTCATGCCAAAGTGCTGGATTTGCTTTTAGAGGTGGGACTCACTGGCATGATCATTGTTGAGAAGGGGATTCCACGACTGCAAGAAGGGTTTTGTGGATTGTTTTGCCAGACTCTTGCAGATCCTTCTGCTAACAGCCGTCTGCATGTCTGCGGATCAGCCATTCTAGTTTTAGAGACCTCACTTGAAGAAAGCTAGGCAAGTGCTTCGCCAAACATCTTGGCAATTGATGGCAAAGGGGCCAGGATCCCCAGATACTGTGAACATTTGACCATGATCCGGTCGCTTCAACCTACGTCCTCAACATAAACTTTTGACTTTTTAACCATGCGAGCCACTACCACCGAGCATCAAAAGTACATAAAGACCCTGGATCGGCGGATACCCAAGGAGCACTTTGCCCAAAGCTGATTGATTGTTTCCGTGATTCTGTCACTCTGTCGGTCTGATGCTTGTTATGGATGGTCTCATTTCTGATTCAAGCAATTCAGTCTCCACCCTGACACACTAAAACACGCAAAGGCTCCCGCGGTGATACTTCAGAACATTTATACGTGATGCACACTGAATCACACACTGATTTCACAAGCACAGGCACATATATACAAGTTCATCACTAGCCTCGTAGCGCACTCTTATTGCATTCGCCCCTCGCATACACATACACACAAGGAAAATACAGCTCAGCAGCTCAGCAAGCACACTCTGATAGGCGTTCAACAAAAGGCGGTCAGATTTGTCATGAGCGGCAGCTGATCTGGGCTGCTGTGGTCTCATGGACACTTGCCCTGCAGGTGTAGTGTTAGGAGTGAGCAAAGGAGGAGTGCAAATACAATTTACTATAGTTCCTTCAAATGCTCGGTATAGAACCAACCCATGAACCACAGGGTATCATTTAGCTCCCTGTTAAACCATCTTTTTATGTGGTGGGTTCTCATCATTTGCCGATTGGTGAGACACAGGTTACAGTAGTATGCCCTTTCGATAGCAGGTGGGGCCAACCAACCGGGTTTCATGAAAAGTTTGGCTGACTGATCCGAGGACTGGCAGAGCCTAGCCTTTCATGACCTGGTTTTTGAGGGCGAAGCCAGCATTCAGGACATGTATGCTCCTTTGGCAGCAGGGTCATGCGCAGAGTTGTGAGGCAGATTAGGTGTTGCTGGAGCGCACCGGCATCGTTGTTGAGCCAAATTCCGTTTGCAGATCGTTTGTTGAAACCGAGCAATGCGGAAGAGCCGCAGACTTTGGTTGTTTTGCCGAGGTGGCCACTTACAGCAAAGCGATGCCCTACATGGCTTTCTTCCTGCTACTTTGGGCCGCTTATCTTGCTGGTAGAGCATGGTGGAACCCCAAATCGTCAGACACACAAATCAAGCCCCTGAAAAATATCATGTTCAGTTGAGGCCATGTATGCTGCCGGTCTATGGTGGACACTAGGCAGCAAGATCTGCCGAGTGAGCAGCCGAACCTGGGCTTTGAAGCTCATGATGCTCACACATCATGCTACTTGGCTCAGTGTGCGTTCATGCTGCAAGCAGTGTATCCGGGCCTGTCAAGTGGTGTTGGTTTGCGACAATTTTTTGCGAGACACCAGAGTGATACTGGAAGATAATTAGCTTTCCCTTAAAATGCCTGCCACACTGTTGTTGCAAGACTTGATTATTTTTGGGGCTTAAGGTAAACTATTCTTCATGGCCTGCGCAGAGTGCTGCAGCACGTAGAGCGGCCCACTTGACACACTTACCTCGACAAAGCTGAGTTTGGGAGCGATTCCCAGTAAGGTCCTAGGCGGAAGTTGGCGTGGCTCCAAAAAATAAAGACTCAACTTTTCCTTCGCAATCCTTACGAAACGTGTGACCGAGTCTCAGGGCGTGATCACACCGTTGGCACTGTGGAGTATGTGGGAGGACCCCGTTATTCGGCAGTGCCTTGGCGCTCGAATGGAGGGCCGGCCGACGGGGTGCCAGTTGAGGTGTTCGTTGAGGCTTTCGCGACATGAACATGAAATTTGTCTATTTGTTACCTCCACAGCTTGTATATGGGGCGGCAATCAAGCAAGTTTGGCGCGAGTCGATCCTGGTAGAGCATCCACAATTATTCGGGGACCAGAGGTTTGTGGAAGAATGCTCAGTATGAGGCACTTTGCTCCTCAGCACGGACTATTGGATCATGCTTGAAGTCTTTAGTGTGGTTTGAAAGCTGCTGCAACATGGGTCGTTTCCCTCGACCTCAGGCTCTACAGCTGCATCGGCTGCAAGGAGGCCAGCGATGTTTGAGCGAGACTAAAGCAGCCTGTGTTACAGTATCATCAGTCTGAAACTCAAAATAGTCACTCCATATCGTTTTGGGGTGACCTTGAGGGTTTGACTTCTTTTGGGTCCAGCAAAGCCTGTCCCATAAATATGAAAAGATGTGGAGTTGGCTTGAAGTGGGGACCTGCAGTGATAGGCTGCGCGGTTGATGAATCGAGCTGCGGGCGTGCCCCCTTTGGCTGCACGGGCACTCACTCCAGTGACGTCCCTTGGAGTTTGTGATGCTCTCTCAGAGCCGTTCGCTACTAGGAACAAGTGCATCGCTACTACTGTAGTAACAAGTGCCTTACTAGTAGTAACAAGAAGCTACTACTATTAATTTATCTCATCGCCGGCCGACTCTCTGAGGCTGGGGTATTTCACGGCCGACCTACTCCTGCTCAGCCAGCCCCGGTGGTTGCATTGACGAATGTGCGAGGTTATTTTGCCATTGCAGACTACGTGCACTCTGCTGAATTCGCTGGTTCACATGGTGCACTGCCTCACGACTCATAATTCATGTTGATATCCATGCCGCCGAAACAGCTTACACCACTAAGTTGATTTGCGCAGCACCAGCTAGCGCCGATTTTGCGTGCTTTGGGGTCCGCAGCAAGTTACAGAAACATGACATGTCCCTCAAACACACTGTTCACTGCACTCTGTCAGTCAATCAACCGCCAATCAGTGGACTAGGGGAGCGACTACAAATGAAGTCAATTGCAAAACCGCGAGAGCAAAGAAGGTCTTGACTGATAACAAACGATCAACACGATATCTCACAGCCTCCTTTGGTTTGCCTAGTGCCTGATCGCGTCCAAGACGTGCTCTTGGAAAGCGCCAATGCACCTAGCAGAGAAGGGACCTCCCAAGAAGTTCGAGTTTGGTATTTGTGGCCTTGATGTTACATTTCCAAAAGAGGAATTGAAAGACCTCTTCCAGGCGCCAGAAGGATGTCATGTTGAGCCGATTGCGGGATTTCAGCTGGCCTATCAAGGGTTCCCGTGGAAGCGAGGAAAGGGCTATGAGGAAGGATCTGAGCCAAAGACTGAAGCTGGACGGCGGTATGAGCATGGCGAGACGTATCCGGCCTGGCATGAGATCGATGCCATGATTGCAGCAATGCCAGGAACAAAGTTGTCATTTCATTTCAATGAAACAGATCAGTGCAAGTATGTGTCGTGGCTCCTTGAGGGTGAAGAGGAGATGCTCAAGTTGATTCACCAGCTATGCACCGAGTACAAGGCAAGGCACATCCAAATTAACATCAACGCACGAGGTTTAGATCCCAAGCTCTTCACGGATGAAACGTCTCAACAGAAAAGTGCCGCTGTCATCGCTGGTTTGGCTGCGAAGTACCCAGAGACCATTTTTCTTCTTCCAGTGTTTAAGATGCTTGGTATGAAAAAGGAAGTCTGTATGTATATTTTGTACACATAAGGAAGGTAATCTGGGCCCATCGACACCTCCTTGTCGAGGTGCATTCCAGTGAAGCCACGGGGTGCACTTAAGGTCTATATATAAATAGCCAGATCTACATGGTTCATCTTGCTTTGTAGCTGCCTAAATTGGAGGCTAGTCTAGTGTTTGCAAATACCGATTCCAGTTCATTACTTTTTCGAGGGGCACAGCCTTTTGCCAGCTTTTCTTTGGATCTTCTGTGTTTACAGACCAGATTGTATTGTCTGCGAACATGTTCAAGACTTCACCTGTGAGTTGGAACACAGGAGGGGCGACACACACTCGTGGCCTTTTGTGTTGGAGATCCTCAAGAAGTCGGTCGTGGATGGCAAGCCACTCTCGAACTTGTCAGCGTTCTTCGACAACAGTGGTGGTGAAGGGAAAGAGCCAGACAAAGTCCCGGAGATCCCTTTAGACTATCCAGACAAATTAGGACAGCCAGTGGGCTTTACTGGTGGCATTAAGACAACCAATGTGAAAGAGTGGCTCACGAAGTATGAACAGCAGGCCGCAGCACATGGTTGCTGGTGCATTTCGGACGCTCAGTCCGGCTTCCGAGAGGCTTACAGTCGAGGCAAACCGATTGACAAGGTGGAAGTGAAGAAGCTTATGAACTTAGTCTTTGAGTGGGGAATGATGTGACGATATGAGTCTGTCTGAGAACGATGATCACCTCCCCTTTTGACCAGGGATTGCTACAGTCAGACATGGCTGCGTGATTGTGATAAAATACACTGTCTCAAGCAAAATTAAGACACAGGTGTTTTGCTTTTAGTTTTTCTCAGTTTCATGGTTTCAGAGAGGTAGCAATTTCAAAGCCACCAGAGCCATTTGTCATTTCACCAGGCCGATCAGTCGGTGTAAAGCTCTCACTTAATGTGAGCAGAATTCACTGTTAGTGGGGGGCCGCTTGGTGTCCAAATTCACGTGATGTACATTAGATTCACTCGAAGTCAGGTACAGTGTCCCAGCTCCGTCTCAAAAACGGCGCTTAGGCATCGCTTCATCGACCTCCACAAACTGCGAGGAGAGCTGGGCAGTCCCAGCCCAATGGAGCTGGGCAGTCGGTGCGTTTTCACCATCTGAGCTGTACAGGAAGACTAAGATGCTGTACGCTTCTGATACTGCACAGAAGAAACGCAGTGTTTGTGCGACCGACCAACCATCCCGTGGTCGAGCCGTAAGTGGTATGCCGCGTGTTCCAGCAATCTTGGCAAAGGATTCAGTCAGGGCTGGTGAGACAGTTGACATGTGGCTTAGGGGCTCGCTTAGATTGCTTTGTCATAAGTGTCTGAAGGCACGCTGCGGATCCTTCCAAGCAGAGTCTGAGCGATCAAGTGCAGCTTAATTGACAGGCAAAATCAGATGGGTACGAAATAGCGTGTTACTATCTCCTTCCAGAAGGCTACCTGATCTCTTTGAGGTAAACTGGGATGCCCAACCCCTTCGTCCATTTTAACCAACCATGCCAAACCCAAAGACAGCCTC